TATTAATATTTTTATTTGTAATATAATATTTCAAAGAGGATTTATTTATATTGGTATTATTTTCACTTTAATCATGATCATTAGCATTGATAATAATAATAGTAACCCAATAAATAAAAATTTATAATAATAAATAACAATAGGTTGTTAGTAAAAATAATTGCCATTAATAATATTGTTAAATAGATCAACAATAGTTAAAAATAGTTTTAATAATAGCAATAACAATAAATACTATTAATAGATGCAAAAAAAAAAAAAGTATAGCTGCACAGTTTTTAGATGTGTGTAAATATCGTATATGTTTGCCGACTTTATGTAGGCCATACAATAATTGTTTACACACACCCACGTTGGCTGGTTACATATAGACATTTTGCCACATTTGGCCAATGCCAAGCGACTGGGGCTTCGAGTTCTTGCCACAAGTGGTTTTCGGGGCCGGAAAAGTCATTAAGAGCATAAAGTTTGGAAGGCGAGGTGACCTTGCATTTATAAAAATTTCACACCATTTCGGCACCAAAGTTCTATGCTAATGCTAATTCACAGCTCTGGCGAATTTTGTTATTGTTTTTTTCAATACAAATTTAGCAATAATTTTGCTTCCATTCTCTCTAGATATCCAATTGGGAATTTAAAAATATCAGTCCAATTATTGCGGTTTCTTTTATAAGACCGAAACAAATGTCGCCAGGCCATAAAAGTCGAAGATATTTTGTATGAGAAAATTGAATGTAGATTGAAAATTCCATAATGCAGAAAGACCATTTTCTAGCCAAGCACACTTCTAACTGCATATGACTTCATAAATATATATACTATAGAGTCTATTTATACAATCACGAAAAGAACAATAAACTCATGTCTCCAAATGGCCAGGGACAATCAGAAATCAGCGAGTTGACAACTGCAAATGGCCAGCAAATGGTCAACTTCAACAAAAATCGTGGGACAAATTGAAAGCAATTTATCTCTTTAAATGGATCAATGCCTCTAAATTGTAGCTTTTGTTTAACTAAATAGATAAATACATACACACGCACACACATACTTATAATACATTTATTTCTAATGCTCGCTGTGAGTGAGTAAGGCACATGCCGAGATTTCAGATCCTAACTTAGGATATTATAATGCTTATTGACCTTGTATACCATATTATTGCTATCAATTGTTATGATTATGTATACAGACTGTGCTCATAGTTCGTTTCCATGTTCGTTCGTGGTGTGAAAAGAGTATATTGGCTTTTATAGAAATTCTAGACAGTTATTTTCAATAGACCTAGCTGCTCTTGAGCCATCAACGAGCATCGCGCAGTCAGTGGCGCCCCACTGCATTGAACTTCCTATTGATTTCTTGGGAAAGTATGAAATTGTCTGGGAAGCATATGGGAATTCTATGAGTGATTACTCTCTAGCAATTGATTTACGACTGAAAATGCAGTTCACGTACAAAGTTATTCGCATTCGCATTCGTATTTGCATTCTGAATAAAGTTCGTGACCTCAATCATTTGTTTCACTTGAAGTGTAAATTGCATTTATACGATATTGAATGTGTCTCTACGAGAGTGTTGATATTTATGGGTGTGTGCAGCTCTATTTTGTTTTTGAGAACTGCAACAAAAGCCTATGGAATTGGAAGTTTTCAGGCATACAAAGTCGAGCTGCATACGAATTTCTCCTCTTTGGCAAGAAACTTAGCAATAAACTTGGCTAATTGCACACGCAATGGCAAACGTGTGTGAAATAAGTTGATAGAGACATAGATATACTATACTTATATATATATATATCTTCACAAATTACCGGTTCATATATATAGATTGGTTGCGTTTGAAGTTGCGCATGCGTAAGATCGTATATCGTAGCTATGCGATATGATATATTAGTCGTAAAGCAAATGCCAATAAAAATTAATATCTTAAGCGATTTTAGCTTTAGCTTTTTTTTTTTGTTTCTAGCCAAAAAGCAAATACTAGAGTTTTGCACTTAATTAGTTACTGCAAACGGCGCATTGCGTCATCGTTGGAGCTGATTGAACTCTGGCGATTGCATAAACCGACAGACACACACACACACACACACACAGATACATACATACATATAGCTGATACAGATACAGTTAGAGATACAGCAACTGTAGCCAATTTGCACTTAATTTAAAACTTAGCTGGGCACGATTTTTTATGAAGTACAGCGGCCACGTCAATTTTTTTGTTGTTTTTGCTGTTTTTGTTTTAATTAATTGAAAAACTCCAAGTTCACAATTGAACAAAAAAAAATATTTATTAACAAATTTACTTGCTGCTATTGTTGTTATTGTTAGCTGGTTTTCACTTCATTTATTTCGTTTCTTTGTTTGCAGACAAACAACCGGATCAAACATCGGCGGGCTCCTACTGGCAGCAGCACGTGGTCACGCCCAGCAGCTCGACGCCCTTCGACTCGCCCTTCTTCTCGGCGACGCATGGCCTTGTGCAGACGCACCCCTCGCTGGCCGGCGGCATACCCGCCTCCCGTCCGGTGCCCCTCAGCAGCAATACGCTGGGCAGCGGCGTACCCGCCAGCAATCCGGCTCTGACGGCTGGCAGCGGCTATCTCAACTCGCGCGGCAGTTTGCCCACCTCGGCGCGCTATCCGCCCAAGATTTCGGGCACTGTCGTCGAACCCAATCCCAAGTCGCCATTCCGTCATCTGGATTTCTCCACCAGCGCCACAGCCGAGCTGCGTCGCAATCCCGCCCTGTCCGCACCCGATGAGTGTGCGCGTGCGTGTCGCGAGGGCGAACCACCAAGGATTTGCTACTACCACTTCACGCTGGAGTACTACACGGTGCTGGGAGCGTAAGTCCTTACATAAGCAAAGTATTGAACGCTAAACCCGTAATGTGAGATCTGTCTGAGATACATACATATAACTAAATTTGAAAGTCTGACGATCACCTGACGGACCATAAACCAGAAATCCAATCAAGGCTCCACACAAAAAAAAAAAAAAAGAGAGAGAGAAGTAAAAAGCCATAACAGCCAATGTCCGTAGGAGTAGGTGTCTCTCCACCTATACATATATGCGATCCCAATAAAAAATTAAGTTAGACCTCTGCAAAGCCAGCGAATAACAATCCATGGAAGTTCAGGTTAAGGCAACATACACACACACACACACACAACACACAATTAAAATGCATATTTCTATACAAATTCAGCTCGAATTAAAGCACCAGGAAAAAAGCGACTTCATAATATAAGGCAAAAAAAAATCTGGGGAAAAAAACCTCTAAGCTGTCACTGCACTGCATCGGAGCGCGTGATAGGTGCATAGACATAGACATAGAAATAGACATACATAATACTTAATTCCCACGCCATAAGCTGTTGGCTGTTGCCTGTTGGCTGCATTGCCATAATATTGTAGACAAAGAGCCGAACACAGCGGCGCTGACACGCTGAACGATATGCAGGGAGTGCAATGTGTAAACAAACAACAACAGCAGCAGCAGCAGCAGAGACAACTGCGACAGTAGCTCCGGTTACGGATCTCAGCAGTTGCCCTAGTGCCTCGGCTTGAAAACCACAATCCGTAGTGCCAGCCTAGAGCAAACACAGTTGTCAGCAGTTCGACAACCCCGCCAGCCTCTCTTTGCATTTCGCAAAAACTAAGCAAGAGCTGAGTAGGATATGCATGACTAGCAAATGCCCTGAAAAGGACTTAATTTTCATGTTTGGCATAGGTATACATGAAGAAAATGCATGACTACGAGTCCTTAAGAGATTTATAGAAATATATATCTGTTCGTAGGTCTGTCTGCATATCTATCTATATATCTGTCTCTCTCTCTCCCTCTCTCTCTCTCTCTCTCTCATTCTCTCCCTCTCATTCTCTCCCTCTCCCTCCCTCTTTTTCTCACTCTCTCTCTCCCTCTCTCGCTCTCTCGCGCTCTCTCTCACTCTCTCTCTCCCTCCCTCTCTCTCTCTCAATCTATCTCCCTCCCTCTCTGTCTGTCCCTGTCTGTCTCTCTGTCTACCTAACAAGAGCAAGGGACGAACAAAAACTACCGAAGATCATTCGAGTTGTCTGTCGTATTTATATTTGAGTAAAACGAAGTTAGAATGCTTATAGCCCATTGGTCAGTTAAAGCTGACGTCGGGCTCTACATTTGAGGGCGTCTTAGTGTGTGGGTGGAAGCTGTCCTATATAAAGGGCAGCAGATGCAGCATTTCTTCAGTCGCCCAGGCCTGGTGGGGGTCAATTGTACACTGCAATAAAGTGAAGTGTGTGATCATTCAGCTAAGTATTAATGACTTGGAGGAAATACTTAGAAGAAATTCATAGAGGAAAGACTTAGAGGAAGTACTTAGAAGAAATTTACAGAGGAAAGACTTAGGAGAAATTCATAAAGGAAATACTTAGAAGAAATACTTAGAAGAAATTCATAAAGAAAATACTTAGAAGAAATTCATAGAGGAAATACTTAGAAGAAATTCATAGAGCAAAAACTTTGAAGAAATTTGTAGAGGAAATACTTCGAAGAAATACTTAGAGGAAAACACTTAGAAGAAATACTTTCTGAAAATACGTAGAAGAAATACTTAGAGGAGAGACTTAGAGAAATTTGTTGGGGAAATATTGCCACTACTCGTTTCAAATAGAATTTTAAAATACATATTAATTTATAAATATTATTTAAACGCTAATCATGTATTACTTACAGTGCCTGCCAGGTGTGCACGCCGAATGCAACGAATACCGTTTGGAGTCACTGTCAGTGCGTTTTGGCCGATGGCGTTGAGCGCGGCATTTTGACGGCGAATCGAATGATACCCGGTCCCAGTATACAGGTGTGTGAGAACGATAAGGTCGTCATCGACGTGGAGAACCACATGGAGGGCATGGAGGTGACCATTCACTGGCATGGAATCTGGCAGCGTGGCTCGCAGTACTACGACGGCGTGCCCTTCGTCACCCAGTGCCCCATTCAGCAGGGCAACACGTTCCGTTATCAGTGGACAGGTAATGCGGGCACCCACTTCTGGCACGCCCACACCGGCCTGCAGAAACTGGATGGTCTCTACGGCAGCGTCATAGTGCGACAGCCGCCGTCGCGTGATCCCAACTCGCATCTGTATGACTTCGACTTGACCACACACATCATGCTCATCAGCGACTGGCTGCACGAGGATGCCGCTGAGCGTTATCCGGGACGCCTGGCTGTCAACACCGGCCAGGATCCCGAGTCCATGTTGATCAACGGCAAGGGACAGTTCCGTGATCCGAATACGGGCTTCATGACTAATACGCCTCTTGAGATATTCACGATTACGCCCGGTCGCCGCTATCGGTTCCGCATGATCAACGCCTTCGCCTCGGTGTGCCCGGCTCAGGTGACCATCGAGGGCCACAATATGCAGGTGATTGCCACGGACGGCGAGCCAGTGCATCCGGTCAATGTCAACACGATCATCTCCTTCTCAGGTGAGTCCTGCTCAAGCAGGTGTTTACTTTGATGAACTACATACATGTACATCATTCTATATAGGCGAACGTTACGATTTCATCATCACTGCCGATCAGCCTGTGGGCGCCTATTGGATACAGCTGCGCGGTCTTGGTGAGTGTGGCATACGACGAGCCCAGCAACTGGGCATCCTGCGCTATGCCCGAGGCCCCTACCAGCCTGCCTCGCCGCCACCCACCTACGATGTGGGCATTCCACAGGGTGTGGTAAGTTCCAAAAGCCTCTCAAGTCAATGCATTTTTCGATTTTACACAGAGACAACAAATGAGCAGAGCTACGTAACTCGCAACGTCTTTGCAGGTTTCATGCCTTGAGTCTGAGTTTTAGTTGTGAGAATAGAAGTTTTAAATGATTATATTTAAATGTAGACAGAAGGAGGCGTAGCAGACTGGTTAGGAATCAATAAAAACTTAAGTCCATCTAGTCAAGTTCCGTTAGTTCATATGCCATTTCAAATCGATCTCATTAACTACAGAGCCTAGAGATGGAAAATATTCAAGTAATACATTGTCTACTGTATAAAGTATAACTTTAAAATTTTCTTCTATAAACCTCATATTATATCATAAAAAAAAAAGAATATCAATATATTATTATACAATATTTTACCTAGGTATTTTAGCATAGATATGAAAACCTAAAAGCTAGTTACTATTCAATATAGAGATTTCATTTATATAGGAACAAATTATGATAGCTCTAATTTTTTTTTTCATTAAAACTAAATAGAAGAAGAAATTAGTTGTGTTTCTTAAGAATTTCTATAAAAATGTAACAGGAGTCTCATTTGCATTCTTTTTATATGAAATAATCCTAAATATCCTAATTGGAAATGAATTTCTTTAATTTTTAAATTGGCCATTAAAATTAGTAGTATTTTAGAGCAGTTTAAACATTACAAAATACAAATAGAGTTTTTCTTCTTCTGAATTTGGTGCCATAAATCGTAAATGTGAATAGAGCCCACTTGTCTGAGCTAAATCACATATATATAGCATACGATCTATCAATGTAAGTACAATGTATTATATGAAGTATAATACTAACAATTTTATAGCAATTGTAAATAGTAAATAGTAAATAATTGTAAATATCTGAAATGTGCCCAAAATGCAGCTGAGACACATGATTTGCATAGTTTAATCAATTTCTCTATATCTCTTTCAAAATCCTTTGTGCAACAACTCCCCCACACTATGTAAAATACCACCACTCATGCAAACTCGAATGTGGTTCTCCTGCACCTGTATATATATATATATTAAACTGAACACCAATCAATAAATCCTTTGCAAATCCGACGACTGACATTGAACTATAAAAAAAAAAAAAACAAAAACAATGACAATCAAAACAAAAGGTCATGAACCCCCTGGACGCGCAATGTAATCGTCAACGCAACGACGCTATCTGCGTGAGTCAATTGAAAAACGCACTCGAAATCGACCGCGGAATCTTGGCTGAGAAACCGGACGTAAAGATTTTCCTGCCTTTCCGTTTCTTTGTCTATCGCGCCGAGGATCTCTTCCAGCCGAACACCTACAACAGATTCTTGGGTGAGTCAAGGAATAATTTAATCTTTTATATCTTTTACTGACTCTGGCTCCCACTCTCTTTTCAGTGGCTCCCACGGGTGATCATGTTATTTCGCTGATCGACGAGATCTCCTATCTCTCAGCGCCCGCTCCGCTGACCTCGCAGTATGATGAAATTAATCCGGAACAGTTCTGCAATGGCGACAACCGTCCCGCCGACTGCGGACCCAACTGCATGTGCACCCACAAGATCGATATACCACTGAATGCCATTGTCGAGGTGGTGCTTGTGGATGAGGGTTAGCTTTTGGGATTATCCAGAGAATCAATATATAAATTGTTGTTCATTATTCTTATCCGATTGCAGTACAACAACCCAATCTGTCCCATCCATTCCATTTGCATGGCTATGGCTTCAGTGTCATTGGCATTGGCCGTTCGCCCGACTCCACGGTCAAGAAGATCAACTTGAAGCACGCACTGGATCTGGACAGACGTGGACTGCTGCACAGGCAGTACAATTTGCCACCCACCAAGGATACCATTGCAGTGCCCAACAATGGCTACGTAGTGCTGCGCTTCAGAGCCGATAATCCCGGTATTACCAGCATAGATTTCCAATATATCTTTAACAGAGATTAACTTTTATCTTTAATTTGCTTTCATTTTAGGTTTCTGGCTCTTCCATTGTCACTTCCTGTTCCATATTGTTATCGGCATGAATCTGATACTGCAGGTTGGCACCAATGCCGATCTGCCACCTGTGCCACCTGGCTTCCCCACGTGTGGCGACCACACTCCACCCATACCCATTAATTAAGCCTAGGCCTTAGTTCTGTTGGCGCTAACTAGAGAAATCCGCACAAACAACAAACAAACAAACAAAAAACTWAAACTAAAACAACAAGAAACTGAAAGCGAAGAAGACCCAACTACACTGAACGAAACAGTTTGTACAAAGTTCTTTCTTTTTTTATTGAAAAGAGACAGCACAACGATTATGTATGTATGTATGTATTTGTTGTAATATATATAGCCCCGACACCTGGATAACATTGATATATGTTATGCATGTACATATATGTATCACCTGTATCACCTGTATGATATTACCTGACTTCCGCAACAGCTTGCCGCCGGGTGCACCCAGCCCCTAAAAGAACCAACGAGAAAAATTGCATCAAGCAACAGATTGCCCCCTGACCTTGCCCCATGCCCAAATCACACACACACACACACACACACTTATGTAGTACACACAGATGTACTGCAGCAAGACGGTGCACTGAGATTGAATGTAAAAAATCAAATGAAGTTTGGAGCAGCCATAAAAATATTCACAGCAAAGCAATTTCAGCAAAATTTTAAGCCTAATTCCGGATTAGATCCGCTACTGTAGTGTGTGTATGTGCTCTTTATATATATGCGTATGTATGTATGTACTCAATTCATGTATGTATATTTAAACTTATGTATATAGGACCAATAAATCACACGCTGGTGCCTACAAAGCATTTTGCGCAAAGCTCCAAAATTTGAACTGCGATTTCAGTTGAATTTGGACTTTGTGTAAATTGCAAAATACATGTAAAAACAACAACAACAAAAACAACTATAAATAATAACTTTTAATGTACATAAAATGTTTGTAAAGAAGAAAACGAAAAAAAAAATCGAATCTATATATATATATTATGCTTAAACTATCTACTTATGTAATGCCTAGGGTCTATTTAATGAAAATATACTCTGATTGGCTTGTCACAGTCATATTTAATAGCTGCAAATTCTGTTCAATCAATCTGCATTTGTAATTGATAACTGTTAAAGTAAATCTTGTAAATTTCCCTATTCTATGTATTTGTATAAACTGGCAAATCTAGAGAGATGTTTTTTTTTTTAATTTTGTAAAGCTTGAATGTTACGATACACGGGGAACAAAACGCCCAATTAACTGCCGTTAAATTTATATTTATTGTTTAAATCAATTTTAATAAAATATGAAAAATTTAAAATAATCACACAATGTCATTTGACAATACAAGTATTATTATCTTGTACTCTTTATATATAAATAAAGATCTTGTACCCAGTGGAAATTGATAAATGAAGGAACAATTGAAGGCGTGGTTCCACTTGTCTGTCCACTGAAATATCTGTATGTTACTGTATAACTGTCTGTATAACTGTCATATATATACACCATAACACTTGATATATAAACAATTTTATTGTATATACACAAAATTTGTAATGTTTCCAACTGGGTACAGGGTATTCGCTAGTCGTGGCGTTGCGACTAGAGCACTTTTAATATATACATATAAAGTTTTGAATTGTATAATATATAAAATTTCTAAATTTCTATTTATATTATATCATTCATATTGAAATTTCTTTCAGCTAGAACGGAGCACAGCTACTGCAGTATGCACAGCATGAAGAAATTGTTAGAAAAATGTTGATCTAATCCGACTTCTTCAATAAATTAAATTTATTCCCAGATCTTAAACCCGCTGGATGCGATCTGTGATCGTAAGCGCGTCGATGCGATTTGCGTTTCGAACTTGAAGAATGCGAAAAAAGTCGATAAGAGCGTTTTGGTTGAGCGACCCGACGTGAAAATCTTTTTACCTTTCAGATTTTATGTGTACGATCCGAAAACGTTATTCATACCAAATACGTACAATCGATTTCTGGGTACGTACTCACTGGCCCGATGGGCTCCTCAGCGTGTCTCTCTTAACCTGAACCCATACAGCTTTGCTTTTCGACTAACATTGACTTACATATACTACCTTCTCATATATGTTTACGCTCGTGTACTTAAACCTTAACAAATGCTTCCAAATGGGTCGAACAACCTGATCGCTATCAACACACACACAGTTGTGCCTAGCGGTGACCATCTAACCTCTTTGGTCGACGAAATCTCCTACATATCACCACCGTCGCCGCCTCTGTCCCAACTCGAAGATATACCGCCCGAGTACTTCTGCAACGGCGACAATCGGCCGCCCAACTGTGGACCCAACTGCGAGTGCACGCACATGGTGGACATACCGCTGGGCGCCATTGTGGAGGTCGTCCTGGTGGATGAGGTGCAGCAGGCGAACATAAGTCATCCATTCCATTTGCATGGCACGGCATTCTATGTGGTTGGCCTGGGTCGCTCGCCGGATAAGTCGATCAAGAAGATCAACTTGAAGCATGCCCTGGAGCTGGATCGCATGGGCATGCTGGAACGCGACTTCTCCAAGCCGCCGCTCAAGGACACCATCGCTGTGCCGAACAACGGCTACGTGGTGATGCGATTTCGGGCCGACAATCCTGGCTATTGGCTATTCCATTGTCATTTCCTATTCCACATCGTCATCGGCATGAATTTGGTCTTTCACATCGGCACACAAGCCGACCTGCCGCCAGTGCCGCCGCGATTTCCCCGTTGCGGTGATCACGTACCGCCCGTTACCTGGTACTAGCTAACCCAGCCGACAGACAACAGTTAGTGGTTCGCCAACTGCAGCCACAGCGGATACTTTTGAATTTATTTATTAACCACTCGCTTTAACTTAACTTGTAGACTAAATACGTTATAAAACGATTATTAATGTGGGGTGATAACCATACTAGATCTATGCTTGAGTTTATTATATGTTTATATCTATATGTTATAGCCTAAGAGAGTAAATGTTGTGTAATGCTCGATGTGACAAACTGTTTGTAGACCACAGCTCGCATCGTTTAGCTAGCTAGCAGCTCAGCCTCATAGTCAAATGCACTAACCCTTCTCGTTCTACAATATAGTCGCCTCGGATGCGGATCATTTGATATCGCTGATCGACGAGGTGTCGTACGTGTCGCCACCTTCGCCCATGCTGTCGCAGTACCAGGACATTCCCGAGGACTACTACTGCAATGGAGACAATAGACCCGCCAATTGTGGGGAGAATTGTCAGTGCACTCATAAGATTGATATACCACTGAATGCGATTGTCGAGGTGGTGCTGGTGGATGAGGTGCAACAGATCAACATCAGTCATCCGTTCCATTTGCATGGCACTTCGTTTTACGTACTTGGCATGGGCCGATCGCCGGATTCGCAAATCAAACGAATGAATCTGAAGCACGCCCTAGACCTGGATCAGCGCGGCATGCTTGAGCGACAGTATATAAAGCCGGCTCTCAAGGATACAGTGGCTGTTCCCAATAACGGCTATACGGTTCTGCGATTTCGAGCTGACAATCCCGGGTTCTGGCTGTTCCATTGTCACTTTCAATATCACATCGTAATTGGCATGAATTTGGTCTTTCAAATTGGGACTCCAAAGGACTTACCGCCAGTGCCTCCGAACTTTCCTCGTTGCGGTAACCATATACCACCCATAACTCCCAGCACTTCATGGTAGCCAGACTTTGTATACTCTCATAAGTAGCAACTAAGTGCATTAGACCTTTAAGTATTGTTATTTATCATTATAGATATTAACAAAATTCTACCTTTGTGCTTAAATGCGCTTCAATCCGTTAACATTAAATAATAAAATTGTAATTAAATTTAAATTTAAATTTATTTACAAATAATATGGCAATATGAGAATGATTTATGTAAAAGACTTACTGGGAGGATGGCACAGACATAAGCCAGAATAGCTTGTAACTGTTATATGCATTTGAACGGCGCGGTATTTTCAATATCCATATCCCGAACTACTATCGAAAGCAGTATTCATCGATACGCTTCAGAAATTTAGTGAAATGAGAGACTGTTCAACATGCAAAATATTTGTATTTTATCTTCTTATTATTATAATTATATTAAATAAATTTTAAAATACTAAATAAACTGAAAAAGAAAAAAATTTCTGTTGATACTTTTAGTATAGACACTGACCAGAGTGGTTAGTGAGATAGAAAAGCAGCAACTTTTATTAACAGGGTGGCAGCACTATCAAAGTGTGACCGCGTTGTCACTATAAACAAAAACACGCAAATTAGCTTGTAAATAAAATCGTTTTATAATAAATAAATAAAAAGTGTAACTATGGGAAAATTAGAAGGTGTGTAATTCAAGTATAAAACTACTCAATATATTAACAATTTCCACTATTTAAGATCGTCGCTCGAAGCGTAGCAAACGACAAAAACCAGCTAGGTTTGCGTCGCCTACCGAGTCCCCATCATCGCCGACTCCGGCCAACTCCGTTTCCGAGCCAGCTGAGGCGGTAACACCTCAGACAGTCGCACCAACAACTGCCAAGCCTACAGTGTCAACTCCTTCGGCAAACAATAGCAAGACTAATGAAGTGGGCCAACGTTCGCGACCTGCAACCAGCACGAAATCATTGCCCGGAAACGCTACGCCTCCAACCAGTTCCACAAAGAAGCCGAGGAAACGTCGCAACAGTGATACGTCTAGTGATGAAGAGCGTTGGCTGAATGCCATCGAAACTGGCAAACTGGAAGACGTCGATGACGAGTTGAAAAAGATAAAGGATCCCAAGCTGATGACGGCGCGTCAGCGTGCCATGTATGAACGGACGCAGGACACCGAGCCGGCACTAGCGGGTTTTGTTGAAGAGCTCATTGCCTTGCCAAGTGGATATAGGGAGAAGGAGAAGCCACAGACGGCCGAAGAGATACAAAAGGCAGCGCTAAAGTCACAGAAACGCAAGCAACAGGCTGACGAGCGTCGTGAGAAGGACAAACAGAAGACGATGGAGCGTCTGCTGAAGAAACAGGAAAATGGCAAACAGCGCTCAGCAGCACGCAAACTGCAAAACCAAAAGCAGACAACGCCATTGCTCACCTACATGAATACCATAGATGGAGCCTACATCATAGTGCCACCAGGCCAGGAGTTTCCAATTCAAGCCCAGACCGCAATTAAGCCGCCGCCAGCTAAACTTTGCGGCGTCTCAGGCTGTGGCAAACGCAAAGTCTACAATTGCTCCAAGACGAATACTCCGCTGTGTAGTTTAGCCTGTTATAAGAAGAATTTAGCTGTTGCCTAATTATAGTATTATTAAGAAGGTATATTTTATTGATTCATCAAGAAGTTGTTTATAATTTCCTGCTGCTCCGACTCTATGCGCTGCAAGTACTGATACTCGCTCTTCAGGCGCTCCAGCTCGACAGTTTGCTCCAGGATCTGGCTTTGGTACACCTGCTGCTCGGTCTGCCGCTGCTTGGCCATTGTCTTCAGCTGATTTTGTGTGCCAATGGCGCGCAGTTTCTCGCTCTCCACAACTTTTGAGAAGTTGTACGCAATTTTATAGAATTCTTCGCAGAGTTTCTTGAAATCCTGTAAGTTTCTCGAGTACTCCAAGCACTCCTGCCGCAGCTCGATCGTCTCATTGGCAATTGCCGGATCTTGCACTCGCAGTCTATAGATTTCATCTATATAAAGTCCAGCCTTGTTCAGTTCCTCCATATTTGAAACTACTTTTATTGACAATTCAACTACCTTACTGTGTTTTGCTATTCGAAACGAGGTTGCCATGGCTACGACTGCAACCCTCTTTGAGAGCAGTCAAAGGCTCATTCATTGTTCAAGGCATAAGTAGAAGTAAACTAGTTTTCAGTACAGATTAAATATATTTGTATATATATTTGATTCTACGATTACAAACATCAACTATAGGAGCTAATACTTTGCGCTCTTGGCTTGGGTTCGGGTTTGGATTAAACTGTTATCGGCGAGAGAGAGAGATGAGCGGATGGGAAATATGTAGAATATAATTGCGATTAATCTCACGATGTTCACAGTGTTTGTTTTGTTTAGTATATATAAGAAATTATGAATTACATTGGTTGCAGTTGTTTCGTTCGGTAAGTTTATATATCGCAGCAGCGATGCCTGCGCTGAGAGGTCAGGAAGAGGCGAACCAACAATGGCTGCAAGCACCGCAATTTTGCCATCAAATCTGTGGGAACTCCAACTTATACGTAAGTCAAGTGGGATTGTTGCGCTTGTTGGAGCGCAAGCGGGCCAAGCCTGTACGCTCCTCCTCCTCGTCGCTAGTATACTGATGCATGCTGGTGCCACTGACGCCTCCCGCACGCACCGAAGATGTCGCCTGCAGCAATTCCTGATCCGGCGCATTGCGATTCTCATAGAGCAGCACCTGCAGTGTCTCCTCGTAGATGCGCGCCTCCGGAAACTCGACTTTCGTATGCTTTCGATCTGTTGTATAGACTATGGAGGTACAGCAGACCTCCGCTACTTTCTTGCCATGACCATAGAAGGACCAGCAACAGATCTCACTTGGACCGATGACGTCCTTAATAAAAAGTATTCGTTCGTTGAAGCGCAACGATAGCTTGTCGAATAGTTCAATATTCTTGAGCAAATTATCATCCGATGTGCTTGTGTACGAGTATTTGTTGTTCTGCCGCTGTACCACTAGAATGACCGCCGGTTTCGACGACGAACTGATCAATAGCTGTTCCTCCTTTTGCGACGTTATCAGGGGTATGCGACAGATGGGCTTCGGCTCTTGGTGCGTATACAGTGCACGCTCGCATGACATCGCCAGCTCCGTGATGCAGTAGTATTTTGCTTCGGCGAGCAGCTCCGCAATCTCTTTGTTTGTCTCTGGCAGCGGTACACTGCCATCTCGCAAAAAGTTTAATATTATGCCAAAATGATTTCCACACCGATCAATTAGAATCCAACCTGAAATTGTATTTGAAAATTTAGGAAAATTCACTGCGTGGGAGTCTCCATAGGGACAAACCTTCCGAATCTGTTAGCACCTCCATGCGCCCACTAAACATGGCGCTTAGCATGGTATCATTGTGTTTTGTTAGCGTGCCAATTGTCGTATAGTACAAACGTCCACCCACATTGAGCTTAACGTATTGAGATGCGTGTCCCTTTAGCAAGACTTTCTGATCACCGGACATGGCTTCGGGCTCCTTGGCATGAAGTACAAGCTGGTTGCTGGCTGCCTGATTCAAGTGCACTTTGTCATTAAATGCACGGCCCAGATCATCAATTTCAATGCTGCTGCTCCCACTGGTGCTTGTGCTGCCGCTGCCACTGCCACTGTTGTTGCTGCTGCTGTTGCTGTTGCTGTTGCTGCTGTTGGTGTTTGTTGCAGCAGCCCCAGTCACTGCCCCGATGCTTCCGTTTACTGCGTCCACGCCCTTTTGTTTGGAGCCTCTGCAAACGCTTTCTTTTGCGTTGCTTACGCTCGCCGTGAGCGCCAATGGATCAATTTTGGCGAATATTTCACTCTCTTAATGGGAATATTAAATGATTACTAACAGAACTCTTGACACACTCAATACACATATACATATGAATATATACATATATACCAAATCTGAATGAACTGATGTAAATATACAAAAATGTACTAATTTAGAACATAGCGCGTTTACTTGTAAAAAATACTAAAATTATAGTGTCATACCTGTTTATTAAACTTCTTCACGGCTAGAAAAGTATACAGATTGGTTGATTATATGTAATATATAATATATTAACCACTACTCTTATGAGAGCACTTCAATTCTAGTTTTGATAGTCGCTTTCGGGTATAAAACTTACAGCACGCAGTAAATGAAGCTGTGGACTGTTGGTTGAATGCGGTATTTTATTTGGCACTAAATTAACTAACTATCAGCAGCTGTTATCCACGCCTAAAATACTAAAGGCGAAATTGATTTAAGTCCTTGTGATTAATTTCTTAAATACTTTAATAAGAAATCAAATATACCCCTCAAATTTCTAGAGCCAACATACACTGATAGAAATATTCTTAATGTTTCGTTTATAGGCAGGAGTTATCATTCTTACTGGCTTTAATTTTTTATTAACTCGTCACATTATACATTATTATTATATTTTTCTTTTTTGGTTGCGTGCATCGAAAAATAATAATTAAAAGTTTTGTATTTGTACGTACGTATGTATGCATATGAATATATAATGAGTGTGAGCTTGATGATTTAGTTGTGGTTGAAAGTTTATGGTAAATTACTGACAATATTAGAAAAGAACAAAATAAAAAGAATATATATAGGAATAGTTAAAATTATGTGTACAAATTAATATTGTTTGTGTATACACTTGCAGTAAATAATTTGGAAATTTTTACTCAGCTCTAAGAGCTCTCTTTGAAATAATGACCAAAACGCAGATGCACCAGCAGCCAACTCTATTGTGGCCTCAATTATAGAATTTATGTGGATGATACGACAACAGGAGCAGTCTCTGTGTCTGAGTTTACGTTTACGTTTGTGTTCGAGTTCAGTTCGGCTGCCTCCTTCTGCTCTTTAGCGGATGCGGATGGTTCTGGGCAGCTGCTAATGGCATCGGTGGAAATCTTTGCAGTCTCATCCGTTGACTTTAGGTCATCCTCAATCTTCAAGCGTTTCGATTTGCTGCTGTTCTCACACTCATTGGCGTCATCATCGACGCTGGCATCTGGCGAAGCGCTGCGCTTTAGGGCACTCTGTTCCGCAGCGCCATCGACGTCCTGCTTTTTTAGCTGAGCTGCCTCAAGGATGGCGCTCTCTGTTTCAGCTGGATTGAGTGAGGTCTTCAGTTCTTGTAGCTTCTGCTTGAATTTTACAATGACTGCGGTCATATTGTCGCAGCCAGTTCCATCGCCCATCGTGTTTGGTGCCAAGCAGTTGTCAAAAAGCTAATCGATAGATTGAAAAGTAAATTGTTTTAGTTAGATGGCTTAGAGAAGCTTCATCAATTTGATGCTCACCTCTTCACAAATTTGCGATAATTTCTTGGAGCTGTCTTTCAGACGCATACGCACAAAGTCAACCACTTCCTCGCTGGACATATAGTTCCAGATGCCATCGCAGGCCAGAACCATGAATTCATCCTCTGGAGTAATGATTAATTTCTTCACATCCGGCAACGCGGATATCATCTGTGCTTCAGCAGGCAGTTCCAGGTTCGTCTTGTAAGCATGATCACCCAGAGCTCGGGATAGATTTAGCCCCCCATTGACGCGGCCATCGAGAGTAACACGACCGCCGGCCTTGATAATACGAGCAGATTCCTCGTCATCCTCCGGCTTATGATCCAGACTCATATCAATGGCCTTGCCATTGCGACAGATAACACAACGCGAATCGCCAGCATTGGCCACATACAGATCGCGACCATGCAACAAGCCAACAACGGCAGTGCAACCGCTATCTTTACCTGGTTCCTCAATCATGTTGGCACAGAAATCATTGTTCGCCATTTGATCTTCATCTTCCTCATCATCGCTCACGTTTTCATCCTGTAAATGCGAAGGAAATGTTTAATAAATAAAAACTTTGATAACCTCTTTAAATATTATCATTAAAGGTATATAGTTGGCTTCACATTTTACCTCGTCATCGTCGTCGTCGTCTTCGTCGTCATCATCGTCGTCATCATCATCGTTGACGTCGTTATCATCCTCCATATCGTCATCCGATGAACTTTCGGCCACAGCAGCAAGTTCTTGTGCCTTAGTTACAGCATTCTCGTCATAGTCGGCATCATCATCCGTGGATTCTTCTTCTTGAGAAGCATTGACTTTCTTCAGCACTTTCTCCGATTCCTTGCTGGTAGACGAGATGTCAGCGCGCTCTGGCTTGGCTTCTACTGCTGGTTTATCTACGCTGCCGTTAGACTTTGCCTGTGCGATGTCACTGGAAGCGGACACAATAGCATCCTCCGATGCGCCTGCTTCTTTATTGTCATCTACAACCGCAGCTTTGGCCTCTGAAGAAGTGACACTGCCATTTTGCTCAATAGGTGCAACGACCGGGCTGCTGGTCGGCGGAATTTTGCTAGCAACGGGTTCGTCCTTAGTTGTGATCGAGGAATTGGTGGTTTTGCTAGCACTTGAACTGCTGCTGCTCACTGTCGACTCATCTTCCGGGTCAACTTTGCCCACTCTTGAGCTACTTGGACCAGCTCCGTCGACTTCGTTGAATGCAGCTACAGCTGCTGCTGAAGTTGAGGAACCTGGGGGCTTTGCTGTTGGATCCATAACAGCCTTATTAACCGCTTCGGCGGCAACAGCTGCAGCACGACGGCCACGCAGGCTCGATGACAATGTGACGGTTGCATTCTCCTCCTTCAGCAACAAAAGGTCATGTGTTTGCGGTAGGCCCTTGTATTTTCCAAGAACCTCAGTTAATGGCAAATTGCTCTCCTCATGCAGTTCAGCCAGGTCTTCAACGTCATCCTCCTCATCAAAGCCCTCACCATCCTCATCCACAACATTGTGCTCGCCAGCTAAGATTTTCAATGTATTTACCACTGTTGGTTCAAGCAAAGTCTTATCAAAGCCCAGAAATGCATCTTTTAGCGCTTGTTCCAGCTGGCCGCTCTTATAGCTGGCTAGGCTCTGAAGGAACTTTGGAAGTTGATCGGCACAATATTGGGCCACCTCGGCACCGCCATGACCATCGTAGACGGCAAAGAACGATGTGTCCGTATCAAAATTCAATATTGAGTTATGTGCATCCTAGGATTGGAAATATAAATTGGAGTGTGGACAGCACACATAGCAGAGACGGTTCATTCACTCACCTCTTGGCTGTTGCGCCAGCCTTGCATCGAACTGGCACCCACGACGAGCATCTCATTGAATTCGTCTGTGGACGCCTTATCCGTCTTTGGATGCGATAGGTAAGCACCCATTTTTCACTTCACAAAATAAGTCCAGTGCTTAAAGAATATCCAATGGAGCTGCACGTAGCGCCAGCCGAGTGCCTGCCTACAGTTTCCGTTGACGAGTTGCGGAAAAATCGATGCTTGGCCAACGCACGCGCGCAGTGTGTACTTTTTTTCGCGCCACCGGCAAAAATAAAGCCGGAGTCAAAGGTTGCTTGAAATTGTTTATTCTGTGAGAATAACAAATTGTTTAAAAGATAGTTAGATATTGTCGTTATTGTTTGTTTTTCCTGCTCGCACAATCGAGTTTGTCTGCGAATGTTTCAAGAAATTTTAAGTTCTACACATTCTCTTTGGCGTCTCTGTAAATTTTATCGTGTGTATCCAATGCCGCATTGTTCGTTTAATAATTTGCCAAAATATCAAAGAAACTCATTTGTTATGCTCAAGAATAGTTAGAAAATGGCGTGTTTTACCAACTTACTCTTATTTGCTATTAGTAATTTACAAAAATTATTCTTTTCGCAATATTTTCGTCTATCCGCAAAAAAAAAAAATCTACACAGTTCACCGTGTGATGAAAAGATGCCATCAAGTTAAAGATGGGATATTTATTTACTATCGGCCTACATCGTTGTTAAGCATTTTGAGAATCTGGCAACGCTAAAAACTCAAACTGCAGTGTTTCCATTGGTTAATTTGATTCTCCATTTGCCACAGCCCAATACTTACTGATAGTGTTAAAAATATGAATATTTAAATTAAAACTTTATTGTCCTTTATTTTATTATATTTCAGAAATATTTTTTTTTTTTAAATATGCAAAATTAATATCAAAAGATGTGTAGAATATGTGGGTTTTTTGAGTTGACAAGAATATATTTGACTGAAAACTCAAATAAATAAAATATTTAATCCGATTGTAAATAAAAAATAAAAATGCTGTTGGAAAAAAAAAATTAAAATCAAGTAAATAAATAAATTAATA